TTTTGAGGTTAGGTCGCATGCTTTTCAGTAGTACACTCCCACTTTTTCAATTTGTTCAAATCGATCACCTAATTACGCATTTAAGTGGAAATTTCATGAAAAAGAATGTTAACTTTATGTCCAGAAAGGTATTCTTAAAGGCAGTACACAATATTCAGCTAGCAAACACCGAGACAAATTTGCAGGCGAAGATTGGAACAAGGATTTCTACGTATGACATTTCAAGTTCACATGTGAACCCAAAATTGGGACAAATAAAGATAAGGGTACTTGATCCTTAAGAAACGCAACAAATATATGAAACAGGATCTATGGGCTGCGCACTTAGCGCAGATTTTTTTAGTTTGTGCGATATTTACGCGACTGCCCTATCGAGGGCGGTTGTTGCCAGACGGTGAACAGTCTTTGTTCATTGTTCGCGTAATCGTGACCCTGCAATCTGGCTCACTGATGGTGGTACTGGAAATATATAAGTTTGCGCGCTGCACGTGTGCAACTTTTTTCTGCTTGTACGGACTATGAGGGTAGGGTGGTCATTGTGCTGGCTGACTCCCGACAGATAATCCTCAACTGGTGAGCTGTATCAGTCCTTCGTACTGCTGCTGCATTTTTGTGCCATCCGAAATCAGATTCCGCTAGATCCGAGCGAGAGTCTAGGCACTGGCCTTGACCCTATTTTTTGACCTTGTCAGGCTAAACTAAGAGAGCGTTCGCCCACTGAGTCAGATGACCAAATAAAAATTACTGAAGTAATGTTGAGGGATTATTCTGTTTCCAAACGATTTCGTGGTATATTGTTTACGCAACACAATTCTTAACCTCTATCACCCTGGATATGGCGGTCCACATCAATGAATTTCTATGGCGAAGCAAGTGCAATATCATTTAGATACTGATATTAGGTCGCCCAACTCACTTCCCATTCAATGGGACAATCTACGAGCCGGCGAAAGGATCGCCACTGTGTTCACTGCTTTTGGGAATTCTCGTTGAAACGACCATACAGTGGTTAAACATGCTGGTATTCCGAGAACACAGACAGAATTTATGCGCATGGTATGCTCTGGAATTGGATAAGGTGTTAACGTTCAACAAATACCAAATACTTACAGCAGGATAGACCCAGCTAATAATTTAACTGAAACCAGTCTGAAATTCTCCTGGGAGATGACTATCGCGTGAACCAAGAATTGATTGAGTCGTAATGCCCCATTTTCTGACACCGTAATAGGTACAATGACCGTCCTTTCCCCATCTTCATGCGAACATGTCTGGGCTGAAAAAAGTAGCTTTCATGCAGCACGCAGGCGTACTCCGCTGCCAGTGCCAACATAAATGGACCAAATGGTAGGATCATTATCACGCAAACTATCAGCACGTACGGTTAACAGTTTGATAACGAGCGTCCTCAATGGGGGCAATCACGCAAGTATTGCAGAAAGTAAGGCAAGCTGCGCTGCATTCGGCAGCCGCGAACTATGCTGCGACATAGCAACTGCTCCATATAATCGTTGGCTTTCTTGTGCATCCATCACGCTTACCTATTATTGTCCTAATGTAGGGTTCAAATGCAAAGATATAATGTTGGGTGGATAAAAATCTTAAGCCATCCTTCGCGTCTTTTTCTCCTCGACTACGTGCTACCGTAGATGCAATGTTTGGTACGGCTTTGCAATATTTACTTTTAGCTCCGTGACTGAAGTTACGGAAGTCTTTTTGTGCCGGCACGGTCAGATTTTGTTATGGTTTTCATAGAATTCTGAGGTAACGTTTACGTTGGTCGCCAACGTCGGACACCATTAGCCCCAGAATTCTGCATTACGGAACCGGGGATATTGGCTGAGCTTAGGTTTTAGTCTAGTCTACAGATTTTAGTTTAGTTTGGTTTTAATTTTAATTGGTTTAAGCGAGTTAAACTTAGTTTAGTCAGTTAATCTTAGTATACAGCAATTATTTTATCGCATTTATCTGACTTTTGCGGTATCTAAGTAAACTGAATACTTAACTTAATATAATCTAAAATTAAACTTATTAACTAACAAATAAACTCAACTAAAATTAATAAAACTAAAAGTAACTAAAGGAGTAGCGGCTAGGGCTATCTGCGGTGGGTAACCAAACTGAATGTTACCAATTTTGAAATTAACAAGCGTGATGTTTTCGTTAACAAAAATGATCATTTTGCTGACAATTAAAATCTTAACTTACGACTGCGATCATAAGCGCTTTCCCCGCGGCGAACTTACGCGTTTTCTTCACGAAATCTCCCCTCCTAGGATTGGGAGATAACGAGCGCCTCCCCTATGAAGGTCAAATCTATGTGAATCAACTCCTTCTCTTGCTCCTGTGGAGAAGCATACACTGGCCGAACAACGAGGCGCCTGGTAAAAGAGAGTACGTGAACACATTCCGGCCTGGTTAAGTAAAGGTGAAACCATATCGATCTCGTATTCTATTCTCACCCACCTTGTCGATACGAATCACCGAGTAGATACTAATGAAGCCACTCAGGTTGTCTACCGGACACCAGCCGATTTCTCTAAGGGCCTACGCCAACGGGTGCTAGCAACAGTCGAAACAGTGGCTATACGGCTAGCGAATCCAATGCTGTAATATCAGAAGAACCTAGCACAAGCTCTTTGACGCCTGATGACGATCGTATATCACTCCCACCCCTGGTGACCTTCGTTCACTCCAAGCAAGTGACAGTTATTTTCAGTCCACGTACCTGGCGTATGACGAACGCTCACAACCTACCCTAATTTCCTCTCCCCCCCCTCCAGTGCGAGAACCTCTACACGCTGATCTCACCATGCGAGTCGTGAGAAAACGATGAGTTATAATCAAACGATCCTTTTTAACTCTGTTCAAGTGTACGATTTTAATTATCCCTGCAATTGTGCTGGCCTGATGATGAATTGCTGAAGACATATGTTTGCCGAATAAAAGATCCAAGTTAAACATGGGAATATTGCAGATCAATGATAATATTGCGTACTTAAGGCCGTTAAGGAATCTGAAAAGCAGCTGAATTTATTGTTCCGCCTGTAGTTATGCCGAAAGCCGGCTACGTTTGGTTGAATGGCAATTTTGTTTCAACATATGGGTCAGCCGAAAATGAGTGAAAAATAGTTTTCATATAGCCAGAATGCCATTAGCACATAAAAGGGCAAATGTAACGCCAGTTATGGTCCGTTTGAAGTTATGCGTTCTCCTTCAACATCGTAGCAGTTTCGGTCCAGCTTGGAAACAATCACAGGTAAAATATACGCTTACTGTGGTAAATGATCGCAATCTATATATACCTGAAGTTTGCGTTCGAGCTCAGACGAAAGATACCCGCTAGGACTTTGATAACCTAAATGAAAATGTTTGCACTGATTGACGGATACAAAAGTGCGTGCAGTTTTCCCAAACACTGTTTCATAAACAGAGACCTAAAAAAGAGCACAATACGATCAGCCGACAAGCCATGCGCTCAAGCTCCGCAGCAACATCATTTTATACCAGAGGAAGAAATTATGGCATACAGAGGCATGTCAACTCTACGTTCATGACTGCAAGTAATTACAAATGCGACCATATGTCGCAGAAACCAAAAGGAGTCGGTGAAAAACAATCCACACCAGATGATTAATGATGATTAATGAAAAATCAAATCAAATCAAATCAAGGCTGACGGTATATATGTTCGCCCAATAAGGGACTGCTCGACTTATCCGCGAAACTGATTAACCTCGCACTGCCCTTAGAGGAAGCGTCTGCTAAGCGGCTTATATCCTTTACTCCCTCGACTTTTATCTCTTTTGTCATTGCGCCATATTTTTTAGCTAGGTAACCTGTATAATGGGTCATTATAACAAGCTAAGAGCGAGGAGGTATGGACCTAGGTAACGAAATTATACTTCTCTTCGTTCGCAGCTTGGAAATTTTGAACGATGGTTTCAGGAAGGAGTATTTTGAAGTCAAGTTAGTGGTAGAAATGAAAATATATAATTTCCAAAGAGGTCTAGAACTGTCAAACCTGGTTGGTATAGAGAAAACAGTTGAATGCGCTTGACAGGATAACCATACCACCGTTTAGTGAACTGCAGCATCCAAGTCAAACTTCCTTTCAAATCCCCAAGGAACAGCAAATGTTATGGTATTTTTTCAGCCCCTTACCCGTAGTGCGGGAGGATCATACTTTTAAATTTATGGACATTCTGGAAGACCGGTCGACTGCGAACTTATCAAGTAAGTTAAAAATATGGTATACATTTTCTTGCTTTTTGAACCAGGCATAACGAAAAAAAGGTTGTGCATTGTAATATTAGTTTTTGTATACGTGTTCTTAATGGTTTCGAAACGATGCCTCATATTTTTTGTGATCAATCAGACGACTAGCGTGTTATGCCAAAAATCTGCTTGCAGCCAACTTTGCGAAAAGGAAGAAGGATTTAGAAGTCACCGTTCATAATCCATTCAGCTTAATTTGCATAAGTAGCTTGGAGGAAGCTTTTGCAATTACACAGAATAAATAATATTAGACGCTTGAGTTTAACTAGAATAATGATTGGATGAAATTAAGCACGCCAAAGAAAAACAGAGGAGAGGGCAAAATTCATGATGCTATGTTCGAAATCATAAATATGAAAACAGTTGACCCTTACTAGAAGTATATAAGCTGCAAGAAATTGATTCGGATATATTACTCGAGGAAATGTACAGATCCCAGATACTGTTGCAGAATTGAATTTTACGTAAATGAGAATATAGTATTTCAACTCCTCACCTTTCTTACGCATACCAGATCGATTAAGTTTTTGAGGAACAGAAGAATAAGCATGTTCCTTCATCAACTGTGCAGTCGCTTCCTTCAGTAGGTTAAACCCATAGACAGACCCAACAGCTTTGGGTTACACGCGGTTCTAGGTACTCCCATATGCAACAGCTGGCCTCCAACTCAATTATCGTGCCCTCTCCCTGCCCCCCACCCTCCTTAGAATTAAGTGCAAGATCATCTGTCATATATTGGGGTTGTGTATTCCTGTGTCCTAGTGGGTTTGACTGATGTAGGCGACAGGCTTTCGTGTTTTCCATCTCTTCTCCTTTTTCCATTGTGCCTAATTGATGACGAGAAGAGAAATACAGACAAGTTAATTCTCAGGAGATTTCGTCTGATTGATTGGTAGACTTCCATTTTGATATTCATTTTGACATGCCCATCAGTTTAATGAATATGCGGATACATGTGCAAATATATCTTTTTTTACTCAAAGAATGTGTATTCTGTCTACGAATTTTCAGATAAAATTGTAAGCTGGCCGGCAGATCACACCTTAATGTAACTGCATTGAATGCAGAAGAAGCCGCTGCATGGTATTACATTCCTTGTGCCAAAGTTGATCGGACCAAATCCCATAGAGGTCTTAATGATTTATCAACGGCTAGCTGTAAAACACAACTCCTTGTGAAGTTGACCACTTAAAAATTATACTCCGCAGACTCTACGGAGAAACTGAGGAGCTGTCAAGCTAAAACCAAAAATATACATACATATCTATTTTGCCCTGTCGTAGTCTTTAACTTCGAAAAAAAAACTAAACAAGCTGAGCAAGTTGAGAGGCTGTGAACGGCTTTCCGTGTCTCAGGACAGACTCTGTTCGGTGCAGCATCTTTCCTTTACTTCCGTGAACCTCATGTTCACTTGGTAAGATCCTTTGACAAGATTTTTCCGCGGCGAACACTACATGCTGATTTCACGCTATCTAAGTATTTTGGTGGTATTTCTTATGGCTAGAGAGAATGTAATTATTGAAAAGATAATCCGATAAAGGAGTGCGTTAGGTATTTCTAACTGTCTTGCCGTCTTGGGTCAGCCAATCCCGAAACAAAGCTTACGTGACCTGAGATTTGAATCCAACATCCAATCGGCGCTGAGAAAGATTTTGAAAAATAATGGCATCTACAGTGAGCAACTGGTCAGACGAAATCTTATTCAAACTTCACAAATCCTTTTCCAAGTCAGAAAGATAACATAAATCGGATTGCCAAAGTCATTATAATTGAGCATGGTCTCAACATATTTTAGCTACGTAAGGATGCCGGTGATTTGCAAAACCACATTATGTTTAAATAGCTGCATATTTGGTGTAGCTTTTTACTTTTATTTTCGACGCCTTTATATATTCAAATATATATGCCTAAAATTTCGGGGTCCAGATATTGTATCGCGTTCATCGTCTCCCAAAGAAGAGGAAGAGGGGGCGGGTTCGTGGACCAAATTATATTTGAACTGACGTTTCGGAACCCTTCTCGCTACCATCGTCAGAATATTATAGTCGCTGCACCTGATGGTCTTAAGTTAGCCAGCCTTGCCTTCTGCCTAGTATTACATCCGTGCTGGATGTGCAAAATCGGACCTGCCCGTTCATTGGCGATTAAACTTCGTCCCCCGGAAGTTGGCTGCTGGTGAGCTTGCGTGACCTTCTCCCCCTCTGCGGTCCGCGAGTCTATATGCTTGCTGGTCTCATCCACGTGGGCCGGTGGACTGATCACTCGTTGCTGTTCATTAGAGTTGTTGTTCGCTTCGCGGGTGCGGCGATGAGACAGTATTTGATGCTGGTCGCGTGACCTCCGGACGCCAACTCTATTTTTCACGTTTTCTCAGCAGAAATCACCGGCGCATA